GCTTATAGTATCGCAATATATCGGGATATATCGTATCGTGACCCCTCTGTCATGATATGTATTTTATCTCCAAATTATTGCCAACACACAGTCCTAGAATCGATGCATCTCTACTTTTAACTACTAAGTCTGAACAGTCTTTAAATGTGCAAAAATGTCCATTAGAGTTTACGTTTTACTGCAGTTTCTCTGTTATTTTGCAAATATGTGATAAAACCAGTTAAAGTTTTTAGGGAGATGAAAAGGTTTACTGTAATTATTTTATGGCTGAATGTAAGATTTGTCTTGTTTTATTTAGTTATTCATCTTGCTTCAATAATCTGAGAATTTGCTTATTATTTCTAAGGTATTTTTGACTTTAGCTGAAACATTTTATTTCGCCACCTTRTGAAAACATAAAGAGTGAATTCTTTTATTTTCTTTTCCAAGAGAATAAAGCCCATTTTCAACAGGTACAAATAAACACCACATTTCTGTAACCTCTTTTTTAGTTCAGCTCAATGAAACCTTTTCCTGCCACAAAATTTCAAAGAAAAGCTGCAAAGTTCCACATTGTTTTGACACATAGCCCCAGAGCTTTTATTTAAAAAAATAAAAAAAATAAAGCACTCGTCTTCTCTTCTGCCCTCGTCTTTTAAACTCCTGCTGAACGGTTCATCCCCGGGGTGGATGGCTGCCAGTTAGTCTGCGCTGCTCCGACACTTCAGAGTGTTTCTGTGGAGAAAACCGAGGATGGAAGGAGGCTCACACTTCTTCATGTTTGTCCCACTCGTAGCTGTCACGTCTGCTACGCTGCAGTTTGTTTCTGCTGCAGAAGGCTTTATTAAGAAGGAAGCCTCTTCCTGGTCTGCTGTGGTCGTTTAACGTGTTGCTTTTTCTATGACCAGGTTTCAGATTAAAGCTGGGAATTAAGCCGACAGATGAGCTGTTTTACATCAAAACCCTACGAAGTAAAGTCAGAACAGTAAATACACACTGGAAAAATGATTTTTGGGTGTAATAACATTTATTTAATTATTCTTTTAAATTTCAACAAAAATATCAAAATTTCTAAACTACTAGAATTTACTAAATAAACAATACGCATTATATGTTATTGTACAAAAAATAAATGCTAATATTATTTTACCAGTAATATTGAAGTGTTTTTTTCTGGACAGCACATAAACATGAATATATGAAGTAACTTCTAGTCTTCTGGGCTAAAACTGAGGCTGCATGCACACACAAAGGCTGCTGCTCCTCATTCCCTTGCTTCACTTTTCAAGGAGAGGACAAGACATGGTGGAAATAAAACA